AGGTGTGTGGGTGTGAGTGAGTGTGTGTGTGTGTACCTGGGTGTGTGGGTGTGAGTGAGTGTGTGTGTGTGTACCTGGGTGTGTGGGTGTGAGTGAGTGTGTGTGTGTGTGGGTGTGAGTGAGTATGTGTGTGTGTACCTGGGTGTGTGGGTGTGAGTGAGTATGTGTGTGTGGGTGTGAGTGAGTATGTGTGTGTGTACCTGGGTGTGTGGGTGTGAGTATGTGTGTGTGTGAGTATGTGTGTGTGTACCTGGGTGTGTGGGTGTGAGTGAGTATGTGTGTGTGGGTGTGAGTGAGTGTGTGTGTGTGTACCTGGGTGTGTGGGTGTGAGTGAGTGTGTGTGTGTGGGTGTGAGTGAGTATGTGTGTGTGTACCTGGGTGTGTGGGTGTGAGTATGTGTGTGTGTGAGTATGTGTGTGTGTACCTGGGTGTGTGGGTGTGAGTGAGTATGTGTGTGTGGGTGTGAGTGAGTATGTGTGTGTGTACCTGGGTGTGTGTGTACCTGGGTGCGTGGGTGTGAGTGAGTATGTGTGTGTGTACCTGGGTGCATGGGTGTGAGTGAGTATGTGTGTGTGGGTGTGAGTGAGTATGTGTGTGTACGTACCTGGGTGCGTGGGTGTGAGTGATTATGTGTGTGTGGGTGTGAGTGAGTACGTGTGTGTGTACTTGGGTGCGTGGGTGTGAGTGAGTATGTGTGTGTGTACCTCGTTGTCTGGAACAGTATGTGTGTGTGTACACCTGGGTATTTGGGCACCTGTGAGAGTTTGTGTACCACAGCGTGGGTGTTTCTAACAGAGGGATTTGGTCAGGATTGTGACAGCTCATGTCAGCACTGAGCTGATTGGCTGGCTTCAACATGCATACTGAGATCCCAGAGAAGTCCTGGGTGCATCAAACATCAAACATCAAACAGGATTGAGAATTCCTGAGTGAAACTACTGGCTGGTTGTCACTGTCACAGTGAGGGTAAAACAGATTGCTCAGCCCAGTGAGAGCATCACCCAAGGCATTACACAAAACGTACACACAGTAGCCAAGTCACCAATGCAAATGACAGAAGCAATTCAAATGATCAGTGGAAATGGGCCACACAATATTGTCAGTGACGCGGGTCAGACTGTCCCACTGTCAGTGACGCGGGTCAGACTGTACCATGTTATGCTGCACAAGGTAGCGGATGGTCTCACGGATGCCCGAACTTATGAGATTGGATGTATATCCCAAGAAGATTGTGCAGCCTGATCTCTCTCGTTGACACGGGCTCAGATTGATTGTGTTCTGTTTGTCTTCATCTAATGGTTCCAGCTTCTTCTCAATCTGAAAGAGTCAGTCAGATATCAGGGTTCTCATTCCCCTGGCATAATGCCCACCAATAATCATAAGTATCAGCAGCAAGAGGAGAATATTTGGCCCCTCTAGCCAGGTGAGGTTATTTTCAGCAGCTCAGGCTCAGCCACCCCCCCTAGTCTGCTCTATCACTCAACAATTACATGGCTGATATTTTCCAGCAACTCAACTTTGTCCCTGTCACTCAATTTGTGTCCGCAACACTCAGTTTTACTCCCGTGTCTGCCACGAAAGAAGGTGAAGGATCTCTGGGATTACCATGCTATTAATTTGCTGTACGGCCTGTCCAAAGTTGGTAGCCTGGTATCCGGTAGTGAGGTAGGACTGCATCAGAGCCTGGTAGTTAATGCCCCTGTTGAAGTCATATCCTTTGACCTGCAGTGAGCCCTCGGGGATGGTGGAACTTGGCTTCAGAACTGCATCCAGGGCGACTGATGGAACCGACTCAGCCATCCCTGATCCAAGTGGATTACATCTAGGCTCAGAAACAGAGACACATTTTGAGCACAAGGGCAGCTCACGGTTAGATCCAGAGCAGAGACCCTCAAATCAACCTCCCAGGTGATTTACCCCTTCTGGGTAAACACAGACTTCCCCGCAAACCCCCACTTCCAAGTAAACACCGACCTTCCCCTATCCCCACCACCCCCCCCCCCACCCCCACCCGCACAGGGTTAACACAGGCCAACCACTGTCCCCCCCACCCCCACCCGCAC